ACGGTTCATCATCCGAGCACGACGACAGTATTTCATCAGTTTGTAGCAAAGACATCACTGACGGCATTCCTGGTGCCGTAGGTTTCCTTTCTGACATGGTTGGTTCCCCTTGTATCTGAAAAAAAAGCACGAAAATATATTGTTTTATGCATGTGAATCATGTCGAACATAGGGGGAGAGCTATGGAAAAGACAAAAAAAATTCTCAAATACAATACTTGGGAAATAAGAAAAATGAATCATACGTCACGCTTTTCAGAGAATTATGATTTTTTGTAACGTTCAAACTTCTTAAAAATGACAATTTCGTGGAACCTATCGTATTGTGACTTGGTATTACTTTTTAGTTTACAATTTTTTCTAAACTTACTTTTGAGTATTACAAAACATAATATCATACATCATTGTCAATAAATATCAAATCGTTTTTTTCAAAGTGTAAAATGTTCTTTTTGTGAAAAAAAAGAACAAGAGCCATTTGTTGTGTGCCACCATCTGTTCAACCACACACATATTATCTTTTCGAACAACAGAAAAACGGCGACGGCCAGCGGCCAGCGGCGCCTTATTGTAAAGAGCACACTATACGCATCTCGTGCGGTTCCATGGTGTAGCGGTTAGCACTCAGGACTCTGAATCCTGCGACCCGAGTTCAAATCTCGGTGGAACCTATCGTTTTTGATTTGCTTCGATTTGAGTTTTTTGTTATAATGGCAAAAAGTCAATCCTGAAAATTAGTTTGATTTTGTGATATAACAGTTTTATCATTGAAACTTTCACAAACGAATTGAGATAGTTGAGCTCAAATTGCGAGTTTTTGCATCCGAAAATTCGAAGTTTTCATTTTTGGGATTTTTTTCGTCGTTCTCCGTAATGTGCGCGTGCCCTCTAACTCAAAAAAAATTAAACAAAAACGATAGGTCCCACCGAGATTTGAACTCGGGTCGCAGGATTCAGAGTCCTGAGTGCTAACCGCTACACCATGGAACCGCACGAGATGCGTATAGTGGGTTCTTTACAATAAGGCGCCGCTGGCCGCTGGCCGTCGCCGTTTTTCTGTTGTTCGAAAAGATAATATGTGTGTGGTTGAAGAGATGGTGGCACACAACAAATGGCTCTTGTTCTTTTTTTTCAAAAAAAGAAGATTTTACACTTTGAAAAAAACGATTTGATATTTATTGACAATGATGTATGATATTATGTTTTGTAATACTCAAAAGTAAGTTTAGAAAAAATTGTAAACTAAAAAGTAATAGAAGTCACAAAACGATAGGTTCCACCGAGATTTGAACTCGGGTCGCAGGATTCAAAGTCCTGAGTGCTAACCGCTACACCATGGAACCTGACGAACACCTGCCTATCATAAGGCATTCATATATGGCCGCTCCGTAAACGGTTGCAAGTGTCAATGTGGAAGCTTTTTCTTATTGACACTAGGCTTCACTCATTGGGACAGTTCGCGAAATGCTGACATGATTATTGCTTTGTGAGAGGCAGGTGTTCGTCAGGTTCCATGGTGTAGTGGTTAGCACTCAGGACTTTGAATCCTGCGACCCGAGTTCAAATCTCGGTGGAACCTATCGTTTTTGTTCTGGTTTTTTGATTTTTTTTCAACATTTTACAGTATTTTACGGACATTTTCACACTTTTTAAAAAAAGATTTAAAATTTTAAAATTTCCATTCCTAAAGTCTATGAGCCTTCTACTACAATTCAGTGGTTCTTCCAAGGTCCCCTCCTACTTGTGTACATAGTATACATTAAATATAGCTCTCCTAAGGAGGGCTTGCTCACTCCCTCACTCACCTGGCCACTGTTGGATTTTCCGATTTTGGCGAGCTCCTTGAGCAAATCGAGTCGATCGTCTTCCGAAGCAGACTGTGTGATCTCGATTTGACGCGTAGTCCGTGGCTCGCCAACAACAATTCGCTCCTCTTCCAAACTGTTCCGCCTCTCACTGCCGCGCACCTGTTAATAGTCGTTGTTCTGGGTTAATTATGCCTTTTGGGGGTAAAAGCAACCACAGAAAGAAAGAAAGAAGCCAAACGGTACCTCGTCTTGTTGTTGTTGTTCTTGCTGTTTCTCGAAATCCTCGTCAGGTGTAGGACTGAGAAGAGATATGTTGGAAAGACGACGATCGACGACTGTTCTCGGAGATGCTAAGCTACTTCCAGTGAGAGAACGGACCTCGTCAGATTCTTCCTGGAAAATTGAATGTTGAGCTTCAAGTTGTGGATTATTAAAAAGATTGTGATAAAACAAAATGTTTTAAGATAAAAAGAGCTTGAGGAACACATCATAAACACTAACAAAAAGCCCTCTGAGTCGTCAACTTTGAGCCAGTTTTTTTCGGTTCACGTTAAAGATATAAAAAGGATAGTTCAAAAAATGTTGATTATAATATTCATAACATTGTCACAGTTCACAGTTTTTCGATATCTTTTACAGGAACCAAGATGAATTGGCTCAAAGTTGAAAGTTAGGGGATTTGAAAAACATTAAGCTTTATAAATCTGCTAGTTTCTAAGCTATCTCGGAAGTTTGAAATTTGGTAGAACTTTTGAGAAAAAAGCACTTGAGAATAGTAACAAAAAGATTTAGGCAAGGCCAAAACCGTTCGGAAAGGGTCAACACCGGTCAGGGACCATGAGCGCGCGCGCTCGCATGTGATGAAAGGTAGGGTTGGATATAACTACGAGAGAAAAATTATTAGAGAGACGCAGAAAACATACACCCCCGAAAAAAGAGGTGCCCTTGTCTTTGTTGGCTGTATCAATGGACCCGTGTGAGTGGAAAAAAGAAGAAACATAAAGAAGAGAAAAGCGTGGGATATCGTCTCCGGGGCGGGGGTTGTTAATGGTAGGCTGCAAGGTGGGTGTTCCGTGTTTACCGGGTAATTAGGAAAAATTGCGGGAATGGCCCAGATAGAGTCAGATAATCCGATTTGTGCCTGAGAAAGGATGGAGAATAACATGAACCAGCTGTTCGAGACATTTCTGGATGTTTCTAATGTAAGCGACCTGAACTAAGTCACTTATTTTTGTAAACTGGCATGAATAGAGCACAATAGGTAACCAAAATGTATTCAAACTTAAAATGGATGTTTTTTGAGAACATTCGTAGTCTATTGTGTTGAAATTTGAACTGCAAAAAAAAGTTCTAAAGAAAGAAGAAAGGTTGGATTAAATACCGTTTTTCAGTCATGCGAATAATTCAAATCTTCTGCAATGATCCTAGGAAAAAATCGGTGATTCACCATCCGAGATTCATAGATAATATGAATAAGGGATTATTAATTGCCTATTGTTTCCATAGCGAAACTCACACCTAGCCGAACAATAATGAGACATTTTCTTGTCTCCTTCCGCCTATTTGCCTGCCTATTTTAGGTTTCGTTTTATCAAATTCCGACTGGCGGATTATATGACTCATTTTATCGTATCTCAGGGTCATCTCGAGGACGCTCAGTCGATGATTATCATGATGAGGAAAAATGAAGAAGAAACAATACAGGTAGCGCATATTCATACCTCGTTAATAGTGTGAAGAAAGTTTGGCAAGACACTCATGTTTGATTGAATAAGGGATGGTAATGGAATCAGTCCGGATGTGGTCCTGAAAAAATTTTATTTAAAAAATTTTGCATTAAAAGAAATATAAATATAATCTCAAAACGTCTTGAATTTCGTTATGTACTATTTCATAAAACTTTGAAGGAAGGATGAAGAAACTTTCGATTTCACTGGTAACGTGAGAAGTTTTCCATATAGCGCACCTCACTGGATAATCCAAGTTTAAAACGGGCCGTGGCGTCTCATATTTTTTCCCAGTTTTTCCCACACAATTCTTATGGATATGAATTTAAGCCATGGTTTTTTGATTTTGTATGCTTTGAAGTTTTTAGGGAATTTTGGAAAATATAAAACACGAATTTTAATTTTTTTCAAAAACGCTGAATGGTCGAATTTCTAATTTTCAACAAGAATTTCATGACACCTCTAAAGCAAGGATGTTTGGAATTTTAAAAAATCTAAGTTTCAAAATTCAAGAATATCAGAATTTCTGAATATCCCGATTTTTGAAAATTTTGGAATCTTCCGCCTTTTTAACGTTTCAGGTATAAACGAGTGCAAAAAGCTTTCATACAAAAAATTCCGGAAATATTCCGGTAAGAATTTTTTTTCGTTATTATCAAAGTTTCCGTTTTAACATTCATAGTCCGAAGTTTTCAAAAAGTACTGGAGTGAAAAGCTTACAGATTTCTCTTCAGATTTCACACATTTTCAGTGAAACTATCCGAAACAAGGTGTCACGGTAATTCCGATAGTCTCAAAACCCACAAGTTAAGTCGTCAACTTTTTTTTGGTTTTTTTGGAGTTTTGTTCTAATTTTAAATTTTTAAAGAATTTTCTAAAAATGAGACCTTTCAAACTTTTTTGAAAGACTTTTGAAAGATTTTGGGGGTGTTATGAACTTATAAAAAATAGTTATCAAATTTTTCGTATATTTTGTTTCAAAAAAAACTCACGGTTCATCATCCGAGCACGACGACAGTATTTCATCAGTTTGTAGCAAAGACATCACTGACGGCATTCCTGGTGCCGTAGGTTTCCTTTCTGACATGGTTGGTTCCCCTTGTATCTGAAAAAAAAGCACGAAAATATATTGTTTTATGCATGTGAATCATGTCGAACATAGGGGGAGAGCTATGGAAAAGACAAAAAAAATTCTCAAATACAATACTTGGGAAATAAGAAAAATGAATCATACGTCACGCTTTTCAGAGAATTCTGATTTTTTGTAACGTTCAAACTTCTTAAAAATGACAATTTCTTGTGGTATAAATTATCATGAACGGGTAAAATTGCCGGGCCAAAGTCAACATAACTTTTCGTTCCGGACAGTTGTTTTATAACCATTCAACAACACAATCTGGGTCGTCGTAACATAACAGGTATCACTTTTTGCGGTAAAACGGTTTGCATTGTATCGGAAAGAATAAACAAGAATAGTGAGAAGGAACATATAATTGTGATATTGAAAAAGTTATTGCATATTGTACTATAATTCGGGTACTGAGAAAATCGTATTTTTTCTTTAGAAAAGTGTCCAAAATGGAACCTATTTAAAAAAAACCAAGAAGCAAAAAATACCAACGTAGAGTAAAAAAGAACACCGGGATTATGTCAAGTGGTCAGAAGTATCATCAAAAAAAGCGGGAAGTAGGGATGAAAGGGAAAATATTACCAGTAGGCCGAAAAAAAAACATTGTGCAAACAATCAAATGGATGTCAAGATTTGCACAGAAGAGCCGGAGAGAGCTCAGCCGCAATATCTGTCCCCCATCTCTTTTTATTTATTTTTGAACCTTTAGGTTTTGGTTTTGGTTCGAGTTGAGATTTCGGAGTCAGTTTTAACCTTCAAACTGTCCATTCGTTTTCCTTATTCTTCTTTTTCTTCTTTTCTATACTCAGAACCTCATAAATCAGAAAGTGTGATGATGGTAATGACATTGAGAATTTTGGAGGATTGGGAGAGAAGAATAACGGAATGCGATGAAACGAAATCTTTGAAAAATTAGGACTAAAGCTCTATGATTTGATTGACATACGGTTTCGATTAATCCGTCTTTTCGGAACACCAGAACATCGGATGTGTATTGATGATTAATTAGTAGTGACGGTAGAATGATTTGAATAGATTGAGATGAACTAGTGAAAAATAGAGATGAAAGACAAAAAGGAAAACTAACTAAAAAACTTAACAAATGGATGAAAAACGAAAACAGTTAAAGATGTTGGTTGTCGAACTGCTAGAAAAAATACGAAATATTGTACTGGACGACAAAAAAGTGAAAGGAATCGAGAGAGATAGAGGTAAAAAGGCAGAAGAGCTGGCGGTGCTGTTTTGTGTGAATCATCTGAATAAACAGGCTTTTCTATACGTACCAGCAGTACGTATATGCATATTTGTATGTATAGAGAGACTAGGTAGCGGAGGTAGGCGCATCTTCTTCGTGTTTTGAATGGTACGAGAGCAAAGAAAATAGGAAAGTTTTTTTGTATGCAAAAAAATTGTCAAACTTGAGAAGAAGAATTAAAAGTGTGTTAAAAGAAAAGCCAGCTCGAAGTTTTTAGTTGTTATGGTACTGTATATGATAAAATTTCTGAAATTGTTTGAACATACTGTCTGATAGAAGCCCTTCCTATACATGCACTTTGAGCTCCATTATCTCAATTTCTATTAGAGACATAAGATATGTCAACTAACGAAAAACTCATGATAAACGAATTTATTTTAAAATACCGCAAAATACAATGAAAAACAAACCATATTCGACGAAATTTGCTGCAAAATATGCGAAAAGCTAAAAAATAGGTAAATTTAACATTTTCCCGCCGGGTTACTGTCGCACTCGTTTCAACTGTTTCCGGTTGTTTACGCTTTCAGATATTTGTTTACAAACATCGCATACACTTCGACTCAACCTTTTTTTTCTTTGACAAGGATAATACCAATATGGGCAGAAGAGAATAAAAAACGAATGACCGCTCGAGGCCCCCCTCAGACTCATTGAGGAAGGGCAAACCTCTTTGGACTGTCATTTCTCCTCTATTTCTTGGCCCTCTTGACATCTTCAACGGAACAATTGAACAGTTTTTGATGAGAGTAAAGAAGACGAGTCAAAAAATTAGTGGTAAATTTTCAGGTTAGTTAAATGATTAGTAACTGAGAGATGTATAAAGGTTTTTCAAAACCATGTAAAAGAAGGGCCCTTTGGCCTCCAACTTCGAGCCGATTTTTCAGGGTTCCTGATTAAAATACTATATCAACAAATGGTCAACTGATAAATTGTTTATCATAATGACAAAAATAATTTGTCAGGAGCCAAGAAAAATTAGCTCTAACTGGACAGAAGGACATTCTATTACAGGTTTTATGGTATTTGCATTAGTTAAAAATATTGATATTTAAAAACAACGAGACATGGAATGTAAATAAAAAGCATGATTTGAGATAAAAGGAGACAAGAAACTGACAGGTTGTGAGGTTAAGAACATGCGGATAGTTTTTAGAAAAGTATTCGAATCACGCGATACTCGGAAGTAGTGAGAACCCAGAACAATTCGGAATATGAATTTCTCTCACCTGAACAAAAACTCCTTCTTCCACGACTTCGGTGTCGGAGCTGGTATCCGATGAGGAAGACGACGCCTCCTCAACCTGAATATCCGGATTCGCCGCCGTGTTGGTAAGACGTTTCCGGGCGGTGGCGAACACAATTACGCGTAGAGAGAGGACAAATGCCTGAATTTAGAAAATTTTCATGAAATTATTAATTGGAGAATTGTAAGGCTACACAACAAAGTGGCTAGAATTTGCCTAATGAGTCGCTCTAGACCAGTTTTCTTTCTCACTTTTCAGGTCTCTTTAAGAGGGCAAAAAGTTATCGGGATGAGAGAGAAAGAGACCTTCTTTTTATGTAATAAGATGGTGGCCCCTCTCGCCGACCACAAGATGCAATTAGTATCCGAGATGCAATGATTATTAGAAAAAAATGTGGTGGACGTAAAGACGCCAGCAGACGTTGGATATAGAGAAAATTCGTTGGACATTCTTTGCACGCTACATTCAGATCTTAATTTTAATTACAGGGAGGACAAAAGAAAGAGAACGGTGTCAGCTAGGAATTGAGTGTCAAGGTGTCTCGAGAAAGTTGACACGATTTCAATAAGACAATTGTGAAAAAAGAAGACAAACGGAGATCCGCTAGTTTGATACATTTGCATAAAGAATATGAAAATGTTTTGGGGAATACATTTATTTTTGAAAATGGTTTCTTGAAAACTTACCAATATAGCTGAGAAAGCTGTGTGCAGAAAGGTGTGAAAGCCGTCCGGAGGACGACTTTCTGTGGACCGGTTGTTTGATGATTGTAGATTTTCTATGTCCATACAATTCTGAAAAATTGCAGCTTTTTTGAATTCTTTTGAATAACAGATGAATTCAATTTTTATATCAAAAAAGGTGGGGGCACAAAGAGTCATAGGGGAATTTCTGTGTATGTTCAAAAGACTGATTCCATCGGAAACCTAGCCACCCTATGTAATAATAGGCTATTGTGTCATGTTTCCTCCAAACTTTTTTTAAAACATCATTGTTGTTGTTGAAATAAGAAAAAGAAGATGTTGAACAAAAAATGAAGGAGAACGATGTACAACTACGGGGATGTCCATGATTCACAATTATAGTATGTGTACAGGGTACTATGAATATGCAGAAAATGTGGAGGAAAAACAAGAATATGGAGAGGAAAATGAGCGCGAAAAACAATGGCGGGAACAGAAATTGCGATGATGTTAAAGAGCTCTCAGGTTTCTATTATGTGCCAATTTCATTGTACTGTCAAGAAAGAGTGTGGTGTTTGCTCGCGAAGGTTCTGGCGACGAACACAACCGAAGACAAGTTGGTAGTACATAACAATCGGTAGCTCGGAACCACTTTTGCAAGAAGCTTTTTATCTTCTTTTATCTCTCAAGTGATTGGATAATCTTGCGCGATGGTTGGTTTCACACGCGCAGGATAGGAGGTCGGAAGTTGCGGATTATTGACACTTGAAAAGTTGGGTTAACTATAATGTTGTTCATTTTTTGAGTTGTAATGTGTTTTGAGAAAAAAATGAATAAAAACATTTTTTCGGTTTTTTTACATGAAGTTTGATAGTCTAACTATCTAATATACCGTGAATGCTCTAATAGAAACCCCTATCCCCAGAAGTGCACTTCCAGCTCAATTTTATTGGTTTCCTCAAAAGATATCGAACATTTGTCGATTGATAAAATTTTGATAATTTCACAAAAAAAACAATTTATTGGTTGGCAAGTTTTTGAAATCCTTCGAAGGAACCAAGATAATTGAGTTTAAAGTGCCTGTATTACGGTATCCAGACGAGATGAGTTATTCGAAACCAGTTTGAGTCTATCTCGTTTCCTATGAGGCGTATCAAAAATCTGACAACTGAATGTAAGAATATGTCTCTCCAAGTATCACCAAAACTCTCATAAACAGTAATTTTTCGATATCTAATACAGAAATTGCCAAAATTGAACTCAAAATACCAAAAAGTTAAATTTAGTGAATCTATAAACAAAAATCAAAGCAGAAAACATATGAATTTAATGGTAAATATAATAAGGAAAAATTCGCTATCAAAAAAATTAACAAAAAACTGGAAATGCGAAATCTTAAATTAGTTTGAATTTATCAGTTTCATACATGTCGCGGTCCGGCCTGGCCCGGGTTTTTGAAGCAACTTTTTGAAAAAGTGAAAGTATCATTTTTGAGAGAAAATTGGATTTTTTGGGTCATTGTGTCAGAATTTTTTAGTTTTAAGATTCAGGAAGGAATCTATGCTGAATTTAGTTTTAAAAATAACATTTTAACAAAAATTTATTCAGAATTAAAAGAAATATTTTGTATTATTTAAAACCCGAGCCAGGCCGGGAAAAATTTTCTCTGACCCGGTATTTATCAAGTATGATAATTTCGATTTTTTCATCAATTTCACCAATTCAAATTTCTAGCAATCCTATTACAGATAAAACTTCTTTCACATCCTAGTAACTTCCTCTTTAAACTTGAAAATCGTAAATGAAGGTTATATGACATTGATTTTATAATGACTATAAATATGAAACCAATAAGAACGGAATGAATAGATAGTTGACCATGAGGGAGAATGAGCGCGAAAGCTCGTAAAAATGTAACGAACTACAGATGCGAAAAGTGATAAGAGGAGAAGATGGAAACATTACAGATTATGATACTGTTTGTGCATAGTGTAATAATTCGGTTTGTTTTTGGTGATGGTGTTGGCTGGAATTGTCTAGTTCAAAACAACTACAGGGACACACAAATACCTGAGAGGAAACCGTTATTATGTTGCGAGGATATAAAACATAATAACATGATGAGAAGAGGGGATTTTTTGCAGAAGCCACTACAAACTGTTTTTCTTCTCGGATAGTCTTACGCTATGATACGACGGATTTTCCGGTCACCGGCACCTGTCAAAGATGATGAATCAATTTGTTTATTCGACGTTCTCCCCTTGATTATTGAGGGAAAAAGGGAAGATGATAGGCTGACGGGTAAACGAAAATTGTTTGAAGGCTTGATATATTTGGAAAACTGATTAGGTAGATCACTTCCGAAATTTTCGAATTCGGAAGGAAAATAATAATATAATAATACTACCGTTTGTGATTAGGAAAGGAGAAATGTGAGAAGGTCAGCATGCTAGAGGTCAGTTTCAAAGAATATCGATATACAGAAGTTTTTTTTCCAATTTATCGATATTCTAATTTTCTAAAAAAGTTATAAAATATCCTAGAAAAAATCTACCCGAAAAAAATGAACAAGTATCAGCCCTAATTACCAGATTCTGTCTTAACCAATTAGCATTCTAATGAATGATTGTAGTTGGCCAACTATGAAACCAGAAAAAAAGTTGCAAATGCTGGACAATGAAAGTAAAGAGACATTGGAATAGGAATTTCAATTCACAAGTTTTGTAAAAGATTTGTTGCAAAGATATTCGGAAGACTGGGAAAAAGTTCCCTTTGGCTACTACCACTCATAACAGTTTGAAAAGTCGCGAATTGGATGAATAGTCACGATTGTTGTCCCTCATCATTCAATAGAATTGGAAATGAGGTCTGTTTTCCAAGAAAGTAACCCTTTTTGTTGGAAAATCAAGAATGAGAAAAGAGAGGTGAAGATATGACCCGTGAGACACGGAGATTTACGATAAACCCTTCCCGAGGTGAGGATGAGGCGCATGGAAATTAGTGCAAACCAGGAAAAACCCAATGAATAGGGTTTTTGGCGGTTAGCAAACAAAAAATGTAGGTTCAGATTTCATAGATATATTGGAACCTCGTTTAGGAGGAAAGGGTAGAAAGGAATTCTTCTTTGAAAAAAATTGAAGAACTGATACCGTAAAACCTTTATTAGAAGGGCAGGCTCTTCTATTTTTCCAAGTAACCTCTGAACGGTCATTCTATTTAAAACTCCTTTTATTTTTCCAGTATTTTTTTGTCGAAAATGCGGTGAATTCTCGTTCAAACCTCATGAACACCTGACAATGTTTCTAAAATTGAGCGGAGGGCGTTTCTATTAGAGGGGCCTTTCTAATACAGGTTTTAATTAAAATAAATTTTAAATCTAACAAACACTAACTTCAGGTTTAGATGTTTTTTTTTGGTTATTGCCAAGAATGAAAATTATGAAATTATGAAAAAATATGTCAAGAAGGAAGGAAAAACATAATACATGACCCACTTGAGACTGCGGAAGGACAATTCCCATATGAAGTTTTTCATTACAATGTAAGAAAAAAGTATACTTACCTGAAACTACTGTTTCAGAATTTGGTCATCTTCGAAATCAGCAAATCAATGATTATTTCCTTATCAGCGAACAGTTTCAGATAGAGACGAGAACGGTTTGATTGCTCTCTCTCTCTCTCTCTCTCTCTCTGTCTTTAATGAATGAATTGAAAATAGAGTGAGCAGGTAAGAAGAGTGCACCCGCCAGCAGCAGATAAATCGGTCCGTACGCTCTTTCCGGCCACGGTTGGCAGGCAGCAGACAAACAAATACAGTGTGCGTGTCTTCGATGAGAAGTCGATTGAGAAGAGCAACGAACGGTAGTAGCCCGCAGTTGCAGAGAAGCTGAACGGCTTGGCAAATATTAGCAAAAACCTGAGGAGGACTATCTGTGCTCCATTGAACTCCCCCTCTTTTTGGTTACCACTTGTTTTTGGCGTTGTAAGGGGAAAAGGAGATTCTGGTACAGTCTTTTCCCTTGTGAAACTTTTTATAAGCTGATATTTTCAGATAACACCACTTTAAAAATTTTCTAACAAATTCACAGAACCGGAAAGAAATCCAGGAGTCACTATTTTCATACTTAAAAAATTAAAAATTTTTATATACTTTTTTGAAAGAAAACACCCTTGTGATCTTCATATCAACTCTAACAATTTCAGATACTTTCCTTTGTTTTTCAAAAAAAAAAAAAACAAAAAACGATAGGTCCCACCGAGATTTG